GCCAATATCCATAGAAGTAAAAAGTAATTATTTTTAACCCTTTGAAAAACGGAATACCCTGCTATTATTTAATGGAGTAGCAATTCATCTATAGTGGAAAAAATTATAATGAAGAAAAGCCCATTTTAATTTATGTTTGAAATGGATTCTATTTAATTTTAAATTTGATAGAACAATTGGTTTTTTGTAGATTTTCAATCCCTAAGTTATCTGAGGGCGACATAGGAATTGCTTATAAAAAAAAAACATTTTAGGACACAAAGATTCATAAGAATTGAAACTTTTTAACTTTTCTTAAATAAGGGTTAATTTAAAAATTAACCGCTTAACTTGAAACTGGTTATCTTTTTACATTGAAGTTTTTTTAAGCAAGCGTAAAATCAAAAACCGTCTATGAATTCAATTTTAAATAGATATAGCGGAAATTTTTCGACTTCAAATTCAGTTGGGTTTGTGTTAGTTAAATGTTCGTTTCAAAAGAAAGGGTTTTAAACCCTTCTGGTAAACATTGAACAGGAGTTAAGCCACTTGGGGGACCGATCGTTTAGCAGACCAATCTTTTAGCATCAAAAATGAAAAAAGCGTTTTTTAGCAGACCAACATTATTGAGTGATGGTTGGTTGATTGACAGACTCAAAAAGACGCTCAGTCTGGGGCTAGGTTTCTTCAATTAATACAGTTATCTCACAATTTGTCATCAAAACTATCAACTTCACAAACACAACAGCCTAAATTGGCGGCAAAACGAAGATTTTGCGAACAAATAAACTCGTGTTCAATTGAAGCGCAGCGGAGCAAGCGGTCGCTAATCGCCAATATCGCGTTTGAAGTTGGCGATTAGCTACCGATTAGCGATCCACAATTAGCTATCTGACTTTAAAATTGTTCTGAGTCTGCTGAAAGATTGGTCTGCTAAAATTAGGTCTGCTAAAATCCCTAGCATCAGGCACTTCAGTTGCATCTGACAAGGAGACTGTTCTATCTGAGTTTTTGTTCTGATTTTATAAAAAAAGTAACAAAATATTTGTGCTCAGGTTGGTTTTTTTTTTCTTCAGACAAATTACGACTTTTTAACTAGCCATTTTGACAAATTTTTGAAAAATCAATCAAAATTTATTGTTGCCCTAAGCTTGAAATTGAAAAGATATTTCACCTGTGACTGTTTTACGTAAAATTATGGTGTTTTAAAGAAAGCCATTTTTTTCAATTTGGGGCATTTAACGCGCGATATATTTCGCGCTATTGACGCGTAAGCGGAGTTTTATTCCGTCTTAGAAAACGTTCCAAATTGTTCAAACGAAGCTTCTTTGCCATAATTGATGTGTTACTAGGAGCGAAATTTATCACTTTGTACTTTATATGGCGTGGGGGGATCATTTTCCCAAAAAATCTCAAATTAGAAACAAAAGTGTTCGTTTTGTTTTTATCACATTTAGTTTTTTCATGTTATTACTGCTCGAAAGGCTTTAAAAGGCAGTCGGAACATTCAAGGCTTCGCCCTGATATGAGCAGTCTTGTTCATATTGCTAAGCGCGTAATGCAAAATATTTATACGTGGGAAATTATCCCGCACAACAAAATCGTTCCCAAACGAAATGAGGCTAGCTAACGGGATCGATCGTATTATTTTCTTACGACTCCATATTTATTACTTTGATATTGTCCAAAATCCATAGGGTTTCAAATTTTTTTCACCAAAAACTATTTGAAATGAATTAAAAGACAGTGTGAACTTTCAGGGCTTTGCCCTGATATACGAGCTGTCGTGTTTGAATTTAAGAATTACCACGAAAAATTGTTGTTCATAATGTACTTGTTAAACTTACGTATATCAAAGGATCGACGTAATAAGCAATCGGTTTCAGGAATTCAAAGAGTTTTCTTCAAGTTTTCGAAGGATTGGACGTAAGAGCGATAATCGTAAATCTAATTATCTAAATTACTAGGTAAGCAATCAGCAAAAAAGTTACTTAAAAATCGTTGAGTTGATCTATGAAGTGTTTAAGCTGTTTTTGTAGATTATTTTCTTTGCAACAGTAAAACTTTTAAATCGGCAAATGCAAACTAAACTAACTTATGACCAGCTAAACAGTAGCAAGTAATGGTTTAGAATAGACGACAAAATTTAGTTTTTTTGTTTGTGAATCTTTTTTATGCGTAGCTATTTTTAGTATTTTAAGTTTAAGCTGTTTTTGTAGATTATTTTCTTTGCAACAGTAAAACTTTTAAATCGGCAAATGCAAACTAAACTAACTTATGACCAGCTAAACAGTAGCAAGTAATGGTTTAGAATAGACGACAAAATTTAGTTTTTTTGTTTGTGAATCTTTTTTATGCGTAGCTATTTTTAGTATTTTAAGTTTCAAACATGTTTGGCAAAAATGACCTATGAGTTTATACGCTGCTAGCGTGAAGTTTTTCTAGCCAGCTGATCAGTAAAAAAACATGCAAAGACTACCAAAACGAATAATTTATTGAAGAATTATGTCTAAAAAAAATCAAACCTGATAATGGACAGATTAGAGAATTGAATGATAATTGGGAACTTTGGTTAGAAGTGTTAGTTTCATGCTTAAAAATACTCTGTCAAACTAACCCTGTCAAATCTTTTCATCGTCGTTAAATAATATACTGAATTGACCAAAACAGCTAATCATTTATTTTTTTATATTCGATAAAAACTTTATGTAAATCCATATAAATCCACACATACAGAAGTTATCTGAAACCTCTGTGATAAATATTTTACTGTGTATGACTATTTTTTCCACAATCAGAAGTTCCGTTTTTTGTGTTTATGAAACAAAAAAATTACTAGTCAATAATCGTAGCGTGATTTTTGTGACAGACTAAAATAAATCTTACTAATATAAAAGCATTGAACGTTTCAAGTTTGAATTTGCTGAAAAAGAATAGTCATTTCTGTTCAATCTTGACTACTTTATGGACAAAAACTACAAACTTTTGAATGCAAACATTTTTTTTCAAAAAAAGTGTGTTTGAGCATGTGCATTTTGCGACTAGAAAGAAAAATTACTAGCAAAAAAATGCTTTTTACAATTTTCATTTCTTCGATTTGAAAATTTTTAATACATTGTTTGTCTGGACAATCAGTACATGGGTACATGGAATTGCATGACAAGCATCTTTCGTGTTTGGAGGTCAACCCAGAATACTAGCTTAAATAATAAAACTTAAAGATTAATTTTCCACAGTTAGATTCAAAGTGTGTAGCAACTCCGAGTTTGTAACGAAAAATCTAATAGACACGTGCGGTCAATTTTGAGCCCCGTACCCATCGGAGGCTGTTTTTCTAGATAGAAATTTGATCTCGATTATCTAGCATAGTTTTCTCGTATTTTCTGTGCAGAAAAGATCTATTTATTTTAGTTTAGAAATAAACAGTTTCCGGAAAAAAATAACCAGAAATCAGTCCACTGCTCAAACACAACGAGATAAACATGCTTCGAGTATACACTATAACAGTAGCAATACAATGCAAACTACACTGTTATAACAACACTGTTATTTTGCTAAAAGTATCAATCTCCATGAAGGGCTGTAGCATAGTGGTTAGCACAACCGCAACCGCCTAAAGGTCAGGCTTTCGAGCCCCACCAGGAGACTTTTTTTAAAGCTAGAACTAGCCTAGATTTAGCTAATTTCTGATCAGAATTAAGATGAGAAAAAAAGAATTTAAAGAAAATCCCTGCTTTATTTAAACATTTGAAAAAAAAATCCTGACCAGTTAAATCCCTGATTTATTTAAACATTTCAAAAAGAGTTTCAGGTCAGAAATAAATAATTTTCTCGGTACGGGTTGAATTTCTTCTTCCTCTTTGTCACTTTCTGAAATTTTTACCTAACTTGATTGTTCACGATTTCTAGGCCGAATGACTCAATCTGCGGAAATTTGAAAAACATCACCGTTTTCCCGCCCGTACCGAGAAAATTATTGGATACTGTTGCTTAGTGAATTCTGGGAGGCTTATCATCAATTCTTTTATCAGTGCTTAAACTCACCGTGAGGATGTCATTCCCTATTAAAGTATAATTTGATCATATTCTTTGTGTAATTGTGGCATTACCTATCCGTGGCCTTTGGTATTATGCCCTGAAAACGAATTTAGACCTTATTTTACAATCGGATTCCGACTGTGATTAGGTAATTAGTTTGAGGTGAGAAATGACCCACACAGGTTATATCAAAACTAGTTCTGTTCACCCAAATATTAAGCAACCCTTGTTGTACACTTTTTCTCCTTTTTTGTGAAGTACCTATCTTCTACACTTAATTGCAGTTACACTTAGCTGAAAGTTAATTGTTTTTATTTCTTTTCAACTATAAATAAGTTATGAATAGGCATTGTGAGCTATAATTCAATCAAATTCAGAATATGAAAGTAGTACTAGTATATTAAATGGCAACAAATGAGTTTCGAGAAATTGACAGTCTGGAAGTAAGAATATGTGAGGTGTGTGTACACGGAGACGCGTCCACTGTCCATATCATTCTTAAGTAGTCCCACGCTTTCATTTACGGATGTTCGACGATACTTTACTTTAGGGCATGAACAGATTGATTTCGAAGTCTGTTTGTGTCCTGCGGAACACATCTTGCCAGTTGTTTGTTCACCGCTCTGCTGAGAATAATTCACGCTTCTTTTTTGGCTGTACTACTTGTGTCTTTGACTTTTGATCTGTTTGCAGGATGTTGGCTGATGTTGTTTTTTGAAACATGTGTCATCATCAGATGCGTTTCACCATTTTGGAATCCTGACACTCGGTCAAGTGTAACACACCTTCATTTCATGACCAATTCTTTTCTATTCTGCTCTCAGGTGTGTCAGTGAAATGCATTAGATGATCATTAGATGATCGCACAGGCGTGAGCCACTGCCCGACTTGAGTTGTGGGGGAGCAAGGGATGAGGGATATGAGCTACAGGTTGATCTCGGCCCCACTGCTGGTCACATCCCCCTCCCCCTCCCCCTCCCCCTCTTCGTCCTCGTCCGAGCAGAAGTGCATGTATGTGAGAGTGACAGTGGGGCCCTGCTGGATGCCCCCTTCGTGTTCCTGCTCCTGTTCAAACTGCCTCCCCTGCTCCTCGGTCCCCCTTTTACCCCAGCTGTGAGAACTGTTTGAGGGGCAGTGGGGGCTTGTGCATTTGGCTGTATAAATGAGGGGGGTGATGTTTGTCTTCTGGAGCATGCACTTAAGGCCACAATGTCCCCCACTGGCTGCTGATGTTGCATGCGTCTCTGAGAACCTGCAGTACAATAAAACAAACTACAGTGATCAGCTTCAAAGATTTACTAAAAGTTTATAAGCAATATACTCAAGTTTATACAGATTATATACAGATTATCTACAGATTATATACAGGTTTGATCGAGAAAAAAAATCGATTATTTTGGCATAAAATTCATTTAATTTTGGTGGAAAAATAGATTCTATCTGCATAGAATCGACGATCGTTCGCAAATTGGTTTTAGATAAATAGACTCTATACTCCAATTGATATGTAGATTTTTCTGTGTATAATCAATTTTTACGCATTTTTGTCACTGCGGGATCTTCTACGACAGTTCCGCAGCCAACGTGAATACAAAAAATCAAAGACGTCGCTGAAGTCGCGATTGGAACGACGAGCCGGTGCAAGCAGTGTGGAGCAGTTGTGTTTTTGTGGGAGTCTCAGTATTCGAAATGGAATCAGTCCAGGTACTGACCCGAAGTGTTGTTTGCATACTGATGGTGGAGTTGATTAGGAGGAGGATGAGCAGGAGGATGGGGGAGTCCGGAAGTGGGGTGGCTGTTCAAGTGGGGACACTTCCATTCGCCACCAGCCCCCTGTCCCCCCTGATTGGCAACTGCTGCTGTTGTTGTTATTAGGTGGTGGGGGTCTAAGGGAGTGGGGGTGGGGGTTCTGACTCTGACTCTGACTCTGACTCTGACTCTGACTCTGACTCTGATTGGTGGGATGGTTGCCTGATGTCTATAGGGGATTTTGTTGCTGTTATGGCTGAAAGTAAAACTTACTATAAAATCATTCGATTAGCCCTGAAGAATATATGCACAGTTTCACCTTTCATCGAATACAAATCAATGAACACCTAATTGATGTCACAAAACTAGTTCAGTTGCAATCGAAAAAGAAACAATTACGCGGACGTGGAAGTCAAATTGCTGGGACACATAATTGGACTATCACTTGTTTTTAGAAGCTGAAAAGGGGCAAAGAAAACTTTTCGGTTTCTACAAAAAAAAAACAAGCTTTTATATTGAAATGTGTGCAGAATAGGCTCAGATAGTTCAGTGAAACAATCAGACTCTGTAATTAATCTTGTTGACATGGTTGATTGACTATATGTACCTGTTTGGATTGTGTGAACGTGTGTGAGGGTGAGTGTCTGGACCTGGACTGTGCTGGCTCTCTTCTGCTTCCGGGGATATGTGTTTCTTCTGCTACCCTCTTTGATCTCCTCCCTCTCCTCCCCCTGCCCTCGCCCCTCCTTTGCAGCTGCTGCCCCGGTTAGAATTGCTGCTGCTTCTACTCAATCTGCAGGGAAGCGTCCCCCCGCCATCCCCACATCCACCCCCAGAAACACCTCCCGCATGTGTATTTATTAGGGTTCTCTGTTTCGGCAGCTGCTGCTGTTGTCTGAGATGTGAGAGGGAACATTGGGATCCAAACTCCGCCTGGAACAGAGACACTCTCAACAAACCATGACTATCTCAACATTTGAGTCTGGTGTGCAGCCAGTCTGAGCAATTTGAACCAGAATCTGTTTTAACAGAAATATCAATTGAAACTCACAGATGTACGCCATTTCTGAGCGCTTTTGTTTTGTGTTTTGAATGGGTGCTTTCATACCTTCTCCCTTCTTCTTTTCCCTCCCACCCCTGATTAGTGGGTGGTATGTATCTTTATTGTTGTTTTTTGATGATTGAGATTTGTGTCACTTTATTTTGTGTTTTGAATGGCTGCTTTCATCCCTTCTCCCTTCTTTTTTCCCTCCCACCCTTAATTAGCGGGTGGTATGTACCTTGAATGTTTTTTGTGGTGATTGAAATTTGTGTCACTTTTATTTTGTGTTTTGAATGGCTGCTTTCATCCCTTCCCCCTGTTCTTTTTTCTACCACCACTGATTAGCGGGTGGTATGTACCTTGAATGTTTTTTTTGTGGTGATTGAAATTTGTGTCACTTTTGTTTTGTGTTTTGAATGGCTGCTTTCATCCCTTCCCCCTGTTCTTTTTTCTACCACCACTGATTAGCGGGTGGTATGTACCTTGAATGTTTTTTGTGGTGATTGAAATTTGTGTCACTTTTATTTTGTGTTTTGAATGGCTGCTTTCATCCCTTCCCCCTGTTCTTTTTTCTACCACCACTGATTAGCGGGTGGTATGTACCTTGAATGTTTTTTTGTGGTGATTGAAATTTGTGTCACTTTTATTTTGTGTTTTGAATGGCTGCTTTCATCCCTTCACCCTGTTCTTTTTTCTACCACCACTGATTAGCGGGTGGTATGTACCTTGAATGTTTTTTTTGTGGTGATTGAAATTTGTGTCACTTTTATTTTGTGTTTTGAATGGCTGCTTTCATCCCTTCCCCCTGTTCTTTTTTCTACCACCACTGATTAGCGGGTGGTATGTACCTTGAATGTTTTTTTGTGGTGATTGAAATTTGTGTCACTTTTATTTTGTGTTTTGAATGGCTGCTTTCATCCCTTCCCCCTGTTCTTTTTCTACCACCACTGATTAGCGGGTGGTATGTACCTTGAATGTTTTTTTGTGGTGATTGAAATTTGTGTCACTTTTGTTTTAGGTTTTAAATGGCTGCTTTCATCCCTTCCCACTGTTCTTTTTTCTACCATCACTGATTAGTGGGTGGTATGTACCTTGAATGTTTTTCTTTGATGATTGGAATTTGTCTCAATATATTTTGTGTTTTGAATGGCTTCTTTCATCCCTTCTGCCCTCTTTTTTCCCTCCCACCCTTGATTAGCGGATGGTATGTACCTTAAATGTTTTTTTTTTGTGTTTATTGAAAATTGTGTCACTATACTTTGTGTTTTGAATGGCTGCTTTCATCCCTTCTCCCCTCTTTTTTCCCTCTCACCCTTGATTAGCGGCTGGTAAGTACCTTGAATGTTTTTTTTTGATGATTGAAACTTGTGTCAGTTTTATTCTGAGTTTTGAAGGGCTGCTTTCATCCCTTCTCTCCTCTTCTTTTTCCTACCACCCCTGATTAGAGGGTGGTGAGTACCTTGAATGTTTTTCTTTGATGATTAAAACTTGTGTCACTTTTATTTTGTGTTTTGAATAGCTGCATTCATCCCTTTTCCTCTCTTCTTTTTCCTCATACCCCTAATTAGCAGATGTTATGTACATTGAATGTTTTTCTCTGATGATTGAAACTTGTGTCACTTTTAAATTGTGTTTTGAATGGCTGCTTTCATCCTTTCTCCTCTCTTCTTTTTCCTACCACCCCTGATTACTGGGTGGTATGAAACTTGAATGTTTTTCTGTGATGATTGAAACTTGTTTCACTTTCATTTTGTGTTTTGAATGGGTGCTTTCATACCTTCTCCCTTCTTCTTTTCCCTCCCACCCCTGATTAGTGGGTGGTATGTATCTTTATTGTTGTTTTTTGATGATTGAGATTTGTGTCACTTTATTTTGTGTTTTGAATGGCTTCTTTCATCCCTTCTGCCCTCTTTTTTCCCTCCCACCCTTGATTAGCGGATGGTATGTACCTTAAATGTTTTTTTTTTGTGGTCATTGAAAATTGTGTCACTATACTTTGTGTTTTGAATGGCTGCTTTCATCCCTTCTCCCCTCTTTTTTCCCTCTCACCCTTGATTAGCGGCTGGTAAGTACCTTGAATGTTTTTTTTTGATGATTGAAACTTGTGTCAGTTTTATTCTGAGTTTTGAAGGGCTGCTTTCATCCCTTCTCTCCTCTTCTTTTTCCTACCACCCCTGATTAGAGGGTGGTGAGTACCTTGAATGTTTTTCTTTGATGATTAAAACTTGTGTCACTTTTATTTTGTGTTTTGAATAGCTGCATTCATCCCTTTTCCTCTCTTCTTTTTCCTCATACCCCTAATTAGCAGATGTTATGTACATTGAATGTTTTTCTCTGATGATTGAAACTTGTGTCACTTTTAAATTGTGTTTTGAATGGCTGCTTTCATCCTTTCTCCTCTCTTCTTTTTCCTACCACCCCTGATTACTGGGTGGTATGAAACTTGAATGTTTTTCTGTGATGATTGAAACTTGTTTCACTTTCATTTTGTGTTTTGAATGGCTGCTTTCATACCTTCTCCCTTCTTCTTTTCCCTCCCACCCCTGATTAGTGGGTGGTATGTATCTTTATTGTTGTTTTTTGATGATTGAGATTTGTGTCACTTTTATTTTGTGTTTTGAATGGCTGCTTTCATCCCTTCCCCCTGTTCTTTTTTCTACCACCACTGATTAGCGGGTGGTATGTACCTTGAATGTTTTTTTTTGTGGTGATTGAAATTTGTGTCACTTTTGTTTTGTGTTTTGAATGGCTGCTTTCATCCCTTCCCCCTGTTCTTTTTTCTACCACCACTGATTAGCGGGTGGTATGTACCTTGAATGTTTTTTTGTGGTGATTGAAATTTGTGTCACTTTTATTTTGTGCTTTGAATGGCTGCTTTCATCCCTTCCCCCTGTTCTTTTTTCTACCACCACTGATTAGCGGGTGGTATGTACCTTGAATGTTTTTTTGTGGTGATTGAAATTTGTGTCACTTTTATTTTGTGTTTTGAATGGCTGCTTTCATCCCTTCACCCTGTTCTTTTTTCTACCACCACTGATTAGCGGGTGGTATGTACCTTGAATGTTTTTTTGTGGTGATTGAAATTTGTGTCACTTTTATTTTGTGTTTTGAATGGCTGCTTTCATCCCTTCCCCCTGTTCTTTTTTCTACCACCACTGATTAGCGGGTGGTATGTACCTTGAATGTTTTTTTGTGGTGATTGAAATTTGTGTCACTTTTATTTTGTGTTTTGAATGGCTGCTTTCATCCCTTCCCCCTGTTCTTTTTCTACCACCACTGATTAGCGGGTGGTATGTACCTTGAATGTTTTTTTGTGGTGATTGAAATTTGTGTCACTTTTGTTTTAGGTTTTAAATGGCTGCTTTCATCCCTTCCCACTGTTCTTTTTTCTACCATCACTGATTAGTGGGTGGTATGTACCTTGAATGTTTTTCTTTGATGATTGGAATTTGTCTCAATATATTTTGTGTTTTGAATGGCTTCTTTCATCCCTTCTGCCCTCTTTTTTCCCTCCCACCCTTGATTAGCGGATGGTATGTACCTTAAATGTTTTTTTTTTGTGGTGATTGAAAATTGTGTCACTATACTTTGTGTTTTGAATGGCTGCTTTCATCCCTTCTCCCCTCTTTTTTCCCTCTCACCCTTGATTAGCGGCTGGTAAGTACCTTGAATGTTTTTTTTTGATGATTGAAACTTGTGTCAGTTTTATTCTGAGTTTTGAAGGGCTGCTTTCATCCCTTCTCTCCTCTTCTTTTTCCTACCACCCCTGATTAGAGGGTGGTGAGTACCTTGAATGTTTTCTTTGATGATTAAAACTTGTGTCACTTTTATTTTGTGTTTTGAATAGCTGCATTCATCCCTTTTCCTCTCTTCTTTTTCCTCATACCCCTAATTAGCAGATGTTATGTACATTGAATGTTTTTCTCTGATGATTGAAACTTGTGTCACTTTTAAATTGTGTTTTGAATGGCTGCTTTCATCCTTTCTCCTCTCTTCTTTTTCCTACCACCCCTGATTACTGGGTGGTATGAAACTTGAATGTTTTTCTGTGATGATTGAAACTTGTTTCACTTTCATTTTGTGTTTTGAATGGCTGCTTTCATCCCTTCTCCCCTCTTTTTTCCCTCTCACCCTTGATTAGCGGCTGGTAAGTACCTTGAATGTTTTTTTTTGATGATTGAAACTTGTGTCAGTTTTATTCTGAGTTTTGAAGGGCTGCTTTCATCCCTTCTCCCCTCTTCTTTTTTCTCCCACGACTGATTAGTGGGTGGTATGTACCTTGAAGAATGTTTTTTCTTTGATGATAGAAGAATGTGACATTTTTATTTTGTGTTTTGAATGGCTGCTTTCAGCCTTTCTCCTCTCTTTTTTTTCCTCTTACCCCTGATTAGCAGATGGTATGTACATTGAATGTTTTTCTCTGATGATTGAAACTTGTGTCACTTTTAATTTGTGTTTTGAATGGCTGCTTTCATCCTTTCTCCTCTCTTCTTTTTCCTACCACCCCTGATTACTGGGTGGTATGTAACTTGAATGTTTTTCTTTGATGATTGAAATTTGTGTCACTTTATTTTGTGTTTTGAATGGCTGCTTTCATCCCTTCTCCCCTCTTTTTTCCCTCTCACCCTTGATTAGCGGCTGGTAAGTACCTTGAATGTTTTTTTTTGATGATTGAAACT